GAGTCACACAGCTAGTAAGTACCTGAGATAGGATTCAAATTCGGGTGTTCCTGACTCTATGCCCAAGTGCTCTATCTTCTATGCTCCCTAGCTGCCTATTTGGCCCATCCCTTCTTTTCCTTAAACACCATGGTTGTGGTTGTTTGTGTGGTTGAACACTAATCCAAAGAAACAAAATGGAAGGTCCTAATGGACATGAACAGCTGGAGGTGATGTAGAAAAAGAAAATTTATGGAGTCTACTTTGTGCACAGAACACTCATTCTATTAGACTCATTATATTAATAGACACCGAAGGAAAATACAACACAATAAATGTATTTGGCCTTTAACCTGAGAAAGCTTGTAGTCTAACAGAGAATATGGGAAAAGATATATATTAAAAACCTCACTTTACAAAAGCAAAATTTCAACATCATTTTAAAATAGAAAGTTAAACAAAAATAATGAGATGTTAGGATGTACAGAATAACTAAAGCCAGTAAGAGTTACCCTAAGAAGAGCTCACATACTGATATAAGAGACAACTCATATTAATAAAATACTTTAAGTATGAATAGTATTTACAAATTACTTGACTCACAACAGTCTTTGTGATAGATAGGGAAAGTATTACCTCCTTTTTATATAGGATAAAATTAAGGGCAACAGAAATGAAAGATAATAATAGCAATAGTAACTATATGGCCCTTTAAAGTTTATAAAACATTTTATGTAGTACATTTTCTCATTTGATGAAGTGACTTGCCATCAAATATTAATAGCTGGAGTAGTTGAGAGCTGACTGTTTTCAACATATGGAAATTTGCCTTAGCTTGGGCTTATCCATCATCATTAGAAATTGAAGAAACTGAAATCTTTGACAATAAAAATACTATTTTTTTACATTCTACACCCATGTGCCATAAGAATTCTCAGTTAAAATGAGTCCTTGAAAAAAATCAATGTTCAAACACAAGCTAAAAACCAGTAACTTTTGAAGTCTGTACTCAAAAGTCCAAACAGTTTTTCTTATGTCAGCTAACAATCTATTACAAACAAGACCAAGGAACAAATGACTAAATCCTCTAAAACCACACAATAGCAGCTCATACTTAACATGAGGTTCCAAAATATGCTGGTCTTATGCAAAGATCTAAGTACCTAAAAGGAAAACAACAGCAAAATGCATTTATACACACTACTTCCCTTTTGGGAAGTTTTATAGCACTACTAATTGGAACACTGAATATTTGGCAACAACGACCAACTTTTCCAATAAGTAGCAAATACATTTTCTCAACTTATTAGATGTAAGTAAGGTAGGGTTTTTTTGTTTCTTTGTTTTTTCAGGAAGGTGAACTAAAACGGACTTTCTTAAGGCCAATGTTACTTTCTGATTTTAAGTTTCAAAATTACACTTTTTAAACCACTGGGTTATTATTTAGCATTATGAAGGGATAACTTAATAAAGTGCCTAATTTACAATCAGAGTAAACATAAACAAGAAGTGTGGGTTCTCATTAAAAAAAAATAAAAAATCAAAACTCTACTTAAAATGACCAGGACGGAAATATATATACAGAATATAAGGAAGAAAAAAGGATTGATTCTAGGGACAAATGTGAGATTTTACTCTTTGTTTACAAATTATGTCACATATGACCATAGAATGGGAAAACTAAAGCAAGAAGTAAGCATTAGTAATAACAAACATTTGTATGGTGCTTATAGGCTTGCAAAGGGCTTTACCTGCAATAATCCTGTTCAAAGTAGTACAAATATTATTATCCTCATTTTTACAGACAGGAAAACTGAGGTTCTGATTGCTCAAAGTTCTATAGTTAGTAAGTGCCAAAGACCAAATATAAACCTACAGTGCTCTTTAGATAATAATATATTTATCACATAAGTCTAATATAATTACCATATGAGTCAGGTGAATACCAACCCGATCAATAGTGTTCTTCATTTCTGGATATGCTTCAAAACTTGATTAAGGGGACCTGACTAAAATGACACACCATAAAATAATCAGAAGAGATAAGTATCTTTCACAGCTACAGCTTGGGGGAGAGGAATGTGTGCTTAATCAAACAGGTGATATAGGTGATGCCAAAAGATAAAACAGAATTTCAGTTAAGAAATTAAAAAGGTTTTCTGCAAACAAAAGCAATGGAGCTAAGAAAAAAGGAAGCTATCCATTGGGGGAAAAAAATCTCTGCATCAAACATTTCTAATAAGGCTCTGACATCCAAGACATAAAGGAAGCTATAGCAAATACAAAGACTAAAAACAAATAGATAAGTGAGCAAAAAAGGTGAATAGTTAAAAGAACTATAAACTATTAACAACCATTTGAAAGTCTGCTCCAAGTCACTAATGAGAAAAATGTGAACAAAATAACTCTGAGGTGTTACCTCACAACCAGCAAACTGGCAAAGATGGAAAAAGTTGGAAATAGTTAATATTACAGAGGTTAAGGAAACAAAAAAATAGGCACACTACTACACTGCTGGTGGGGTTATCAACTGGACCAAAGATTGTGTGATGTAAGGAATTTGGAGTTGTGCTAAAAATCTAACTAAAATATACATACCTTTTGACTCCAAGATCCTTTAGCTGAGTATAAAACCCAAGGGAGTCAAAAGACAAAAAATATTCCTGTACATATAAAAATATTAGAAGCAGCACTTTTTAAAGGAACAAAGAACTGGAAGCAAGATGGATGTCCGTCAATTAGGGAATGGCTAAATGAACTGCAGTACATTAATGTAATGGAATATTATTGTGTGCGACAAAAGAAATGATTAGTATAAAGATCTGTACTTGGGAAGCTTTAAATCACTGATGCAGAGTGAGGTATGTAGAACCAGGAAAACAATATACACAGTGACTCTATCAATCTAACATTGTATAATCATAATAACCAAGCTTAGCCTCAGAGAAGAGATGAGAAAATACAATTTCTTTCTTTTGTTGTAGAGGTGGGGGACTATGGGTATAGAACACTACACATACTATCAAGCTTAGATGATCAATTGATTATTTTTTTCTTAACTGCTTTTTTCCTCATTTTTATTTTTTCTTGATAAGAATAGCTTGGTATATAGGTAAGGAACATATTAAGAAATGGTGATGTAAAAACAAAAGATAAAAAATGTAAAATTTAATTGAGAAAATCTATGTATTTCAAAAAAAATGAAAAAAGGATAAGTTAGAAAAGACCTTAAGAAAGGTAAAAACAGCAGGTAACTAAGCTTAGAAACACTGCTTCATTTTTTCCCTTTTTAAAAATATAAATATCTTTTTTTTTGCCAAGTTAATCAAGTTTGCCATTTCTTACCTCCCCTTCCATAGCCATTCAGAAAAATCATTTATCCAGATGGAGGAAAAAGTGAATAATTAAGGTAGTCGCTGTAATCCTTTCTCCTTTATCATTGGTTATTTAATAATTTTATCTTCACTCTAGAGTAATTATTCACTATGCTATGTCATTTTCTTGATTTTTCTTTTGTTATCAGCCTCTCTGCTGGTTTTTTCATGAAGCCTTTCCCGAAAAAGGTTTTTCCTCTTGTTATTTTTGTCTATTTGTCACATTTCTTTCTATTCACTATCTACCTTTGACCCATTCCTCCAGCTCTCGCTTTAGAGCCATGTCTTCTTGATTGGTGAAAGCTCCTTATAGATAGCTGGCTTCAATATCCACTATGCTGCACTCTAATCATCTCCTGCCATGCCACCAAACCAGTCCTATTGTATACCCCATCTCTATAGTTTACCTTTTGTTCTGGGAACAGTAATCAAATTAATACTACCATTCTTGGAAAGGAAAGGGTATATCAATCAATGGCCCTAAGACTCTACTCTCCCTCTCTGCGACTCCCCAGATGAAACCACATGTCCCTAGCCTCTAATCCTCTGTATCTGTTGTCTTCCTCATCAGAATGTTAAGCTTTTGAAGGGCAAGGATTGACTAATATCTTGTATGTGTATCACCAATGCTTATTACAGTGCCTAGCACATTGCTATTGTTGATGTCCAGTTGTTTTCAGTTATGTCTGACTCTGTGACCTCATTTGGGGTTTTCTTGGCAAAGATACTGGAATAGTTTGCCATTTCCTTCTTCAGCTCATTTTAAAGATAAGGAAATAGAGGCGAACACAGTTAAATGACTTGCTGTCTGAGGCCAGACATGAACTCAGGAAGATGAGTCTTCCAGACTTTAGGCCCAACACTCTATCCACTGCACCATCTTCCTGTCTGCCTCACACATAGTGAATATTTAATAAATTCTCTTCCCTTCTTTCATTATATTCTAAGGTAACTGAGGTGAGCTAAAAAGATGTGACCTTTTATTTAACCATTTTGCTAGAAGTGACAAGTACTTTTAAAATAGTAGATTAATGACACCTACATTTTTTCCTTAATTCATTACTTCTCCTAATCTCAAGTATACTTTATTCCTTCATAAAAATAATTACAAGATAAAATAAACTACATATGTATGGTATGGCCTCCAGCAACAACTGATTTTGTGAACAGGCATCCAACTGTTCCACAGTAGACTATTAATTGTTTCTTTTATAAAAGCCATCTTAAACTTGAACTTAGGAACACATACAACCTTAACTATGCCAATATCTTGAAATTTTATAATACAGAATTAGTCACATAAGGGAAAGAAAAAAAAAAGCTAAATAAAGCAAAAAGAAGATTTGCCACTCTTACTTACACTCAGGGAAAAGATAAACACTGAAGACGGTGAAAAAATGAATGACAGAAAAAGCAACATGTATACTTTATGTAATATAAATGTGAAATTATAATTCTACTAACTTAAGTATACTTCTTAACATATAATCTGTTGCTTATCACATAATGGCTTATAAAGTAGTTACTTATATAACATCTTGTATCTCCTACTACATCAGTCTATCTCATATCTCACATGGTGCCATAGTACTTTGTAAAAAGAAGGTGTTGCATTTATTGAATGAACAAATAACTGAACATACTTACCCTTCGAAATGACACAACATAAAAGGTATCTCCCCTTCTTCGGATAGCTTCAAAGAAGTCTTGATAACTTCTAGGTGAGGCATAATAAACTTGCAGCTCACTCCCTGAATTTCTATAGAAACAAGGAAAAAAGAGAAAGGTGTTGCTTGCACATGAACATGTTTATGCCTTATCTGAATGACTTTCATTTTAAGGATATCAATGTTTCCATTTAAAGGATTTCTCCCAATAATGTATACTTGAGGAAATAATTAGTTTCTAGAAATAATATTAATTTAATCCAAGACATTATCTATACATCCATATCTGAACCAAATGAAACCATCTGACAACCAAGGCCCCACACCAGAAAATGTTTTAACTCATTTGATCCCAATTCATATTTCCATTTTTCAACTGGCAAGAGACCAAAATTATGGCAATAGAATCAAAATACAAGTCTGCAATTATTAGTAAAATGTGGCAATTTTCTTTGTAAAATAATAGCTTTATGAGCAACCATCATTTATAAATAGCAAGCCTCACAATTTATACCCCTTCTAAATTGTTTTATCCTTTTCAAAAACTGAAAAACACAAACATACTAACCAATTGTGTGATTTGGTGAATTTTTAAAAAAATTTACACAGGAGGCGGAGCTAAGATGGCAGAGTAAAAGTAGTGACTTGCTTGAGCTCTCCCCCAAACCCCTCCAAATAGCTGCATAAAATGATTCTAAGCAAATTCTAGAGCAACATAACCCACAAAAAGACAGAGTGAAACAAATTTCCAGCCCAAGACAACCTGGATGGTTGATGGGAAAGGTCTGTAGTGCTGGGCTTAGAGCACAGTTCAGTGTGGGCCATGCAGGTTAAGATGGGGCCACAAAGGGAAAGACAGGGCTCCAGGAAATCTGAAGCAGGCCTCAGGCGACGAATCATGAGCAGTTGTGGCAGTTTCCAGACTTCTCAACCCACAAACTCCAAAGACAACGTAGAAGGTCAGTGGGTGAGAAAGGTCTGTCAAACCTGGGTGAGAGTGGAGCATGGACCAGCCCTGGCCATATCACAGCTCTGGGGTGGCAACCACAGTGGCAGTGGCTGCTTCCAGAGCTCTCAACCCACAGATGTGGGATCCCCCAGTGGCTGCTCAGAGGGGGACTGCAGGGATTTCTTTGCTGACACTGAGGCAGGATTCTCTTTCTTTGTCCATGCTTGGATATGGGTCATGGTCCTAGGTGGCGATCCTGGGGTAAGGAGGAGCACTGATGAGGCAGAGCTTGTGGTGGCAGTAGAGGAGGAATCCTCCCCACAGTTCCAAGGCAGAAAAGAGTGCTTGTGGTCATTCACAGACCAGAATACAGGCAAGGAAAGGAGTAAACACCTCGCTCTTACTATACCACCTTGGAAGAACTGAAAATATTCAGGTCCCCAGAAGTATCTCTGAAAACTGCTGTACAAAAGCCCTGAAGCTTGGGACAGTACACTCGCCACAATGGAAGCAAAGCCCTACCTTAAGAAAGAGTTAAAAAGTCAAGTAGTTAGCTGGGAACATGAGCAAACAGTGGGAAAAAACCTCAGACTATAGAATCTTACTTTGGTGACAAAGAAGATCAAAACATACAACCAGAAGACAACAAAATCAAAGCTCCTACATCCAAAGCCACTGAGAAAAATATGAATTGGTCTCAGGCCATGGACAAGCTCAAAAAGGATTTTGAAAAAGCAAGTAAGAGAAACAGAGGAAAAATTGGGAAGAGAAATGAGAGTGATGCAAGAAAATCATAAAAATGAGTCTTTAGCTTGCTAAAGGAGACCCAAAAAAATACTGAAGAAAATAACACCTTAAAAAATAGACTAACCCAATTGGCAAAAGAGGTCCAAAAAGCCAATGAGGAAAAGAATGCTTCAAAAACAGAATTGGCCAAATGGAAAAGGAAGTCCAAAAACTTACTGAAGAAAATAATTCCTTAAAAATTAGAATGGAGCATGGAAGCTAATGACTCTATGAGAAATCGAGAAATTATAAAACAAAACCAAAAGAATGAAAACATAGAAGACAATATGAAATATCTCATTGGAAAAACAACTGACATGGAAAATAGATCCAGGAGAGATAATTTAAAAATTATTGGACTATCCAAAAGCCATGATCAAAAAAAAGAGCCTAGACATCATCTTTCAAGAAATTATCAAGGAAAATTGCCCTGATATTCTAGAACCAGAGGGTAAAATAGAAATGGAAAGAATCCACCAATCATCTCCTGAAAGAGATCCTCAAAGGAAAACTCCCAGGAATATTGTAGCCAAATTCCAGAGTTCCCCAGGTCAAGGAGAAAATATTACAAGCATCCAGGAAGAAACAATTCAAGTACTGTGGAAACACAAACAGGATAACAAAGGATCTAGCAGCTTCTACACTGACGGAACAGAAGGCTTGGAATATGATATTCCAGAGGTCGAAGGAGCTAGGATTAAAACCAAGAATCACCTACCCAGCAAAACTGAGTATAAACCTTCAGGGGAAAAAAATACACATTCAATGAAATAGAGGACTTTCAAGCATTCTTGATGGAAAGACCAGAACTGAATAGAAAATTTGACTTTCAAATACAAGACTCAAGAGAAGCATGAAAAGGTAAACAGGAAAGAGAAATTATAAGGGACTTATTAAAGTTGAACTGTTTACATTCTTACATGGAAAGATGATATTTGTAGCTCATGAGACCTTTCTCATTATTAGGGTAGTTGGAGGGAATATATATATATATATATATATATATATATATATATATATATACACATACATAAACACATACACACACATACATACACACACACACACACACACACACACACATATATATACACACATACATGTATGTATGTATATATGAGGTGAATTGAATATGAAGGGATGATAGCTAAAAAGTGTGAAGTTAATCAAGTTTGCCATTTCTTACCTCCCCTTCCATAGCCATTCAGAAAAATTATTTATCCAAGTGGAGGAAAAAGTGAATAATCAAGGTAGTTGTGGTAATCCTTTCTCCTTTATCATTGGTTATTTAATAATTTTATCTTCACTGTAGAGTAATTATTCACTATACTATGTCATTTTCTTGATTTTTCTTTTATCAGCCTCCCTGCTGGTTTTTTCATGAAGCCCTTCCCAAAAAGGTTGGAATATGGTATTCCAGAAGGTGAACTGAATATGAAGAGATGATAGCTAAAAAGTAAAATTAAGGGGTAAGAGAGGACTGTCCTGGGAGAAGGAGAAAGGGAGAGGCAGAATGGGGTAGGAAGAAAGAAAAAGCTTTTACAGTTGAGGGGAAGTGAGACGGAATGAGTGAATCTTATTCTCATCGGATTTGGCTAAAGGAGGTAATAACACACATACTCAAATTAGGTATGGAAATCTATCTTACCCTACAGGAAAATAGGGGGGAAGGAAATAAGGGGGGGGGATGATAGAAGGGAGGGTAGATTGGGGGAGGGAGTAATCAGGAGCAAACACTTTTGAAGAAGGACAGGGTCAAAGGAGAGAAGAGAATAAACAGGAAATGGGATAGGATAGAGGGAAATACAGTTAGTCTTTCACAACATGACTATTATGGAAGTGTTTTGCATGACTACACATGTATTACCTACATTACATTGCTTGCCCTCTCAATGACTGTGGGTAGAGAAGGAAGAAGGGAGAGAATTGGGAACTCAAAGTTTTAAAAACAAATATTAAAAATTGTTTTTACATGCAACTGGGAAATAAGATCTACAGGCAAAGGGATATAGAAATCTATCCTGCCCCACAAGAAAATAGAAGGGGAAGGGGATAAGAGAAGGGGGGGGGTGGTTTGATAGAAGGGAGAGCAGATTGGGGGAAGGAGTCTGCAGAATGCATGCCATCTTGCAGTGGGGGGAGGGGAGAAATAGGGAGAAAATTTGGAACTCAAAATCTTGTGGAAGTGAATGTGGAAAACTAAAAATAATTAATAAAAAAATATATACAGCAATAACTAAGCTACTCTAGCTATTAGTGCAAATTGCATATTTTGCCCTGTCAGTGTAGACATGTTATATATAAGTATCTTAAATGAGATTAAAAATCAATTGCAACTACTCTAATTCCTATTATACATAAAAGACATGGTAAATTCTGGAAGAAGTGTAATCTACAGACTAAGCAAAGATGGCACAATAAAGAGCCCAGCTCCTTTCCAAATTGCTCCAACAACAATCAAAGAACACCAGATTAAGAAGTGATTGAGAAATCAAAGAAGAAACTACAATGGGTCATTTCTCCAGCTCAAATGTACAAATTCAATCTATTTGCAAGTGACCAGGGCAGGAACTAAGACAGTGGTGGGATGGTAACAGAAATTCAACAACCAGATATTAGAGATAGGCAAGCAGAGTAAAGACTCAGCACAGGCCCAGGTCTCTTCCAGAAGGGACAGGAATGCAGATTTAGTGCTCAGAGTCCCAAGTATGGGGTCATCCAGAGAAGATGTGGGACTCAGTCCCCTTTCTAGGACAGGAAGAAGAATCTGGATCCCTGACTTAGCCCTCAGAGCTCTCAGCTAGGCCAGCAGACAGATTGCCTAGAGCAGACTGCTATCAAAGATTAAAAAAAGATAAAGACCTATTATGATGACAGAGATACCCAAGACAAACCCAGAAGAGAATAATTCTAAAACACCTCCAAGCAAAGCCTCAAAGAAAGTTACAGCTTTTGCTGTATATCTAAACATTTCTAGATGAAATGATACAAGAGGTTTTGGGTTAAGTTAAAACATGATACTATAAATGAAATGCTAGAAGAAAGAATTGAGAATATGAGAAGAGGGTGGAGCCAACATGGCAGACTAGCAGGTGTGATAGATGATTAACTGGATTGCTATTTTACTGGACCCCCTACTTTATTCCAATCAGTATTAATCAGTTTGATATGATTCCATAGGGGTGGTGAGTACAAGTTCTGTTAGTAAGCCTCAAAGCTGTGAACTACAGAATGTAAGTTCACTTGCTTAATCATAGGAAGCTAGTTAGAGGACCTCCACCCTTGCCTTTCCTCGTTATGTTGACCATGTCCCATATAGCAGAGATGACTCAATTACATGAAAAGTCCCCTATTTTTGTTGCCTCTCCATCCCTTGTCATTTCTTTACTGCCCAACATAGGGAGATGACCATGAGCACATAGCCAATGAATGAACCTGGTGGCTGGCCTGTGGCCTTTCTACCAACCTATGGGTGTGCTCACTGTCTTGGTAGGACCTCTGGAAAGGTCAAGATAGGCCTGATGAGGTCTGCCCACTAGCCATTTGTCAACCAACAGGATTCTATATTTTGCATAGACCATGCTGGAGGGTCAAGGGTGAAGTCTATCCACCAATATGAGTCTATTCTAATCTGTTCCACCTATATTGTCTAGGTATCAAGCACTATAAAACTGAGGCCCTGGAGGAAGGGGGCATTTCAGATTGTGATGAAGATACGTGGTATACTTTACTAGAGGGGGCCAAGGACCCTTTGATAAAGTGTCATTGGCTCAGAGCTCTGCCTCAGTGGTTTTCTTGCAGAATGGACAATTTTGAAAATCCCTAGAAGAATGAGTACAGTGAGCTTGCCTCCTCCCAATACTTTTCCAAACAGATCTAAATAATGCACCAGACAAACTCCTGATGGGGGAAATTCAAGAAAATATCACAGTGAGTAACTTTTCCAGCCCAAACTGACAAAAGAAGAGAGATATTGGGACGCTTAGGAAAGGGTCTGACTAGAAGTGGCCTAATGGAGTACTTGAGCACCTAGGGAGACGCAACATACCAGAGTAAAAGGAGGTCTCAAACTCATACTGGGGTATTACAAAGAAACAGGTGCATCTGGAAGTTTGTCACCCACTACCCAGTTTTGGGTCACAGATTCAAGTGGAATGAGGAAGGAACTTGGGCCTAGGCAAGATGTTTTAGGGAAAGGAATGGCCACAGGTGGTATAAGGGAGAGGAGTAAGGTAAGAAAGAAACAGCAAGGGTGTGACCCAGATACAAAGAGTAGAGCAAGTTCTCAGTCCCAACTTCTAGCCCAGTCTGAAGCCTGAGGAGGAATAACTAGAGAAGAAATCACAGACCAAAGGGGAGCCTGCAATTCCATCACTCTGAGCCAGCAGAGCCTCCCAGGTGGCTGATAAGAACTGAGCCCAACAGCATTCTATTGTTGCTTAGACTGAAACCTAAGTCAGAAATTAGAACTCAGACCAAGGAAACAGCAATCAGATTTTTCCCTGGATTAGATCACACTGGGGGCACTGAAAGCTTGTGAATCCCTAGACTGTCCCTAAGATCCTGGAATAACATAACATTCAAAACCCCAAGAAAGCAAGAACAGGTCCAACACAGATACAACCTATAAAAGTGCAGCAAAGCCCAACCTCAACATAAAATCTGAAATGAGCAAGTAGCCTGGAAGAATGAGCAAACAAACAAAAAAGAATCCCACCATTAAAATGCAATTATGATGATAAGAATGCATAAGACACAAACCTAGAAGAAGAGAATTACTCCAAAACACCTACAAACTCAGCCTCAAAGAAAAATACAGCTTGGGTACAGAAGCAACAGAATTCACAGAAGAGACAAAGCAAAAGGTTGTTTTGCTTTTTTTTTTTGAGAGATAAAATTGTATTTATCGATGAAATAAGGATGCTGAAAGAAAAGAAGGAAAAGAAATAACAATGATGGAAGAAAGAATTGGTTGAAAAAAGAATTAGCAACTTGGCATAAGAGATATAAAACCATGCCCAAGCAACAAACTCTGAAAATTCAAACAGACCAAACAGAAGCCAGTGATTCCATGAAGATAATAACATATTAAAACAAGTCAAAAGACAGAAAAAACAACAGCAGATTCAGCAACAGAAAATGCTATGATTTTATCAAAGAAGAGGCATTATCTTCTTGACCACTGTTCCCTAAGGACCATGCGGCCTTTCAATCTGACTTTAAGCTGAAACTTTTCATATGTATTATCTTCCCCATGAGAATGTGAGCTCCTTGAGAGCTGGGATTGTCTTAAACTTCCAATTTATCCCCAGTGCTTAACACATAGTAAGTGCTTAATACATACTTCATTCATTCATTTGGTAGAATCGTTCTGGAAAACAGTTTGGAACTATAACCAAAAGTTATTAAACTGGACATCTTTGACTCAGCAATCCCATTAGTAAGACTTACCACAAGGAGATCAAAGAAAGAGGAAAAGGACCTATGTGTACAAAAAAATTTACAGCAACTCTTGTTGTGGACACTAAGAAAGTGCTCATCAATTGGGAAATGGCTAAACAAATTATGGCATATGAATGTAATGAAATATTGTGCTATTAAAAAAATAAAGAGAAAGTTTGACAGAAAACTGTGAAGATGTATATGGATTGAGGCAGAAGGAAATGAAAGGAATCAGGAGAACAATCCATACTATAACATCAACATTGGAAAAACAAACAGTTTTGAAAGTCTGAAGAACTCTTATCAACACAATGATCAAGGATGACTCCAAAAGACATTCCAAAAGACAAGTAACAATATTACCCACTTTCTGATAAAGAAATGATGGACTATAATGCAGGATGAGACACATTTTTAGACATGGCCACTATGAAAATTTGTTTTGCCTGACTATGCTTATTTGTTGCAAGTGTTCTGTTTTCATTTTTCTGGAGGAGGGCAGTAGGAAGGAGAAAAAGAAATGTTTGATAATTGCAAAAAAATTAATCAAAAAACCTGTAATGCACTAAAAAGATAAGAGTAATCTATAAGAATTTGTACACTGGCTTTCACTATTCTTCTGTTTTAACAAATAGCAAATATTCAATAATGCCTTATTTCCAAACAAAGTGAAAACCTGGCATAGTCTGACCAAGGGCTTAATTTTTTGTTAGTGAGCTTTCACCTTTTCTTACCTGATGCTGGTTGCTTCTGTATACTGCACAGCCATGAGCTGAGAATTAGAACCATGTTCCAGAGAATTCTAAAGAACAAAAAATAATTTTTATTACAAAAATAGAAATAAGGTCTTTTCCATGGACTCCAGTCCATGACTAAGCCCTGGATGATTACAGGGTTCATGCAGTCTGTTTAGGCACATTCTGGTTAAGAATATTCACGTATAGTCTATATGTGAATCTGTTTAATAGACCTAAATTCTCTTCAAATAGGCTTAACAAAACACCAACACCTATAAGTGTACCTGCATCTATAGGCCAAACATCAAACTATACGTCCCTGGATATCAGCTATGATGAGAAAGGAAGTGACCAAAGGAATGCCACATAAAAAAGTCTATGCTCTAACCAACAGGCTGCACAAGTTTTAACATCTAAGATATACATAAGCAATGAATGCTGGAAATATAACGTGTAAATAACTGTTTTGCAAAATGTTATAAATGTAAAAGGTAAGTTATTAAAATATATCTTATTGTTCAATGTATTTAACACTGCTCAATACACACGTGAACTGAGCCATAACTCAATACATTAAGTCACTGATCATAAAATACAGCCCAATCCTGAAGACACAATTGCCTTAAAAGTCTACTTTCCACCATATGCCCATCACCTTATGTCAATAATAGTTGCAAAAGATGATCTCCTCAAGCCCTATGAGGATCTGAGAGTCCCAAAGTTTATCACTCATTATTCGTGTTTAAAAAGCATCCTTTCTATTGCCCTACTTTAACCACTATTTAAACAATTAAATTCTACTTATAAAAAAATATTTCACTTATTAGAATATTTTTTTCTTCACCGTTCCAAGCTGTTGTTTACTGGATTCAGTCAGTCCCATTTCATACCAGAGGGAACAAAATTATAATGTAGACTTAAGATCTTAGATTTAGCTCCAGAAGACACATTAGGTAGTCCAACCACCTCAATTAATATATGAGGACACTTAAGGTCCATAGGGGGCAGCTAGGTGGCACAGTACATAAGAGTGCCTGGCCTACAGTCCAGAAAACTCATCTCTGTGAGTTCAAGTGTCTGGTCCCAGACACCTATTAGCTGTGTGACCCTGGGCAAGTCACTTCATCTTGTTTGCCTCAATTTCCTCATCTGTAAAATGATCTGGAAAAGGAAATAGCAAACCACTTTAGTATCTCTGCCAGAAAACCCTAAATGAGGAGAGTCAGACATGATTGAAAAATGACTGAACAACTGAAAAGGCCCAAAGGGGTTAAATGAACTGTCACCAGTTTTACCAGCTGTAAACAGTAGAGTCAGGCAGTACTTGAATTTAGGTCCTATTATTCCAAATCCAGTTGATTCCAATTCCACTAACCCACAAAGGTTGAACTGACTGACACAATGTATGCTTGAGGTGTACACAGTATCCAGCTGAGTACCCCTAGGCACTAACCAAAAGGCTGTGTTGTCCTTTTAAACATGAAAAAAACACCAATGAATTAAACAAAATAACGTTAAAAATTAAAGTAGAGCTAGGATAAATATAGGCAGATGGACTAGATTTATTAGTTGATTAATTTTAAATGGCTATTGCGATTTTGTCAAAAAAGAACCAAGAAATGCTAACTAAACTTTCTTTTCCTCCTTTTTCTAGTCTTAAGTATGGTTAAGGGTTAGAAAAAGTTAAGTTGCAGGGACAATAAGTAAATGAAAAATAGGTATAAAAGGAAATCAAATGACCCTTATCTATGCTGGATCTAAGATCTGCATCACTTAACAAGGAAAAACTGCCCCTTGGCTTTATACATTTTAAATATCATAAATATTATATAACATCGGCATTGGCTATACAGTGTTGTATATTTTTTTTAAAAAATGCTTACTATTATAATCTGAGGCATTCAATTGTATCCTATGTTTCCAACAGTTTAGAATTTACTTAATCTGTAACGATGAAAAACCTACTGATTTAAAATTAAAACATTCATTATCAGTTCCAACAAATAATTAATTAAACATAATGAAATAAATAATTAGGACCTTGTCAAAAGTGATCTTGGGATCCCAACTATGGCACAGCCTTGTAGATGGGAATACATTATATAAAAATTCTTTCCATACTCCAATATTTAAACACTGGATGGAGTCCAAAACTGAATTCTGCTTTACAACAAATAGTATCACAGCAAGACTTCTATATAATATATGGAAAAAAAATCTTTTTTTGAATTAGTACCTTCTCAACATCTTAAATGTCTCTTAAAATGTTAATTAATAAAGCACAACAAATCAGAAGAGGTAGTTATAATTCCTTTACAAATAGGTGGCTGAGAGTCTTAACTATTTATCCATATAACAGAAGCCAACTGCAATTAAGAAAGTCTGGAATGGGATTTTTCAGATGATTTTTTAAAAAATGAAAAGTATAATATGGCCAGGATCTTCGTATTTTGTTTATACTTGGAGTCAATAGGCCACTCACCACATTATCATAGTGAGCTTAATCTGTAGCTTTTCTAGCTTCCTTCCCTAGCCCTGCTTCCTTTCAAACCTGACTTATTATACCTTTTCTTTTTTTGGTTTGTCCACCACCAAAGTTGTCTTTGTCTTCTCAGGCATCTCATTATTGCCCTCTGGTGTGAGACAGGGAGTACAGAATCAAGTGGAAGAAAACAAAGATCATGTGAAGGGAGTGGAGGGGAAAGGAGCTGAATTCACTTACTTTGCTCTATTTCTTGGATGCCTACTTACACTGATCAAAGTTAAATTTGAGTACATATTTTTAAAAAAGCATTATATTTATTTATTCTCAAGGAATAACAGTTACAGAAACAAACACATGAAACAAAAATAAATACAAAAAAGCATACCATAAGTCAGTACGTGATTGTAAGATAAGTGGTTTAATTATAATAGCCATACTTTCTGACCCAAAAATGGGAACATACGTTCTGGTAAAAGATATTCCTTCCACAAGGCCTTTTTACAATGACTTTCATTTGTTGAAATCAGGCCAGACGATATGGTCACCACAGCTATAGACAGTGAGTGCTCTGATTTCACAGGAAGGAGGGAATATTTCAAGACAATTTGATCTAGAAAGGCTTCATGAAGAAAGGAGAATTTAAATTTTTACTTGAAGGACAGACAGGAATTACACATGCAGAGAGGCTGAGGCAAGAATTCCAGACGGGAAAAATATGAAATTTTGAGGCAAGAAAAAGCATAAGACTTGTGCTGAAAGAAGGTGAGTACATGAGTAACTAATTTGATTGGAGAGGAGGGTTCATCATTTCCCCAAACAACGGGGAAATGAGACTATAAAGGTAGACTATGAAGGACCTTGTTTTGGCAGACTAAGTAATTCTAACTCCATCTTACAGATAAGGGGGAATCACTGAATGCTTTGGAGCAGAGGAATGACAAAAACAAGCCTGGGTTCTCTGACTCTACAGCCTAGCCTGATCAATCACTGGAAAGAAGCAGAAGCATTAATATCCTCCCCTTTCTCTCATGGTGTTCAAGCCATTTAACCTTTCTGGGCCTCAATTTCTCATATATCAGATGAGAATGTTGGAATCAATAATCTAGGGTCTCTTCATAATTTAAATTGACAATCCCATGATACTTCAAGTGGGAATGGATGACTAACAACTCGTTTTTCTCAACCAAGTGCTTTATACTATCATATTCCCCTTCCCACTTGCCCCATAATCTTAAATCTTCAAGGAAATAAAAATTAGATCTTGTTTTAGAAAGAGTTACAGATTCCTAATCACAGTGGTGTTTTAGAAAGCTTAATCTGGGACCTGGGTGTGTGAAACATTAGAAGGTGAGAGATGAGAGCCAGGGTAAGATACAAGGAGTCTAAAATAGTGATGTTATCAACACTGAGCAAAGAGGTTGCACAGAAAACTTAAATACAGACAACCTCAAACCTCATTTTAACCATTTAAACATCTCCCAAGCTTTTTTCAAGCAATAAATTGGATGATTTGAGATTTAGCTTCCCTTCTCTTCTGCCTATTTAAAAAAATTTTTTTTTTAAAAAGATGCTAAGGAGGTCAGGAGAAGATTCTGGGAAGATGGTGGAATAGGTCAGAAAATACCAGGCTCTTCAAATTTCCACCACAAACAAGACAAAACATCTCCTCAAAGGGAACTTAGAGTAGCAGAAATAATTAAAAGTTGGGGTAAAGCAGCCGTCTTTCTAAGACAACTTGAGAGGACCACAAGAAAGACTTGATCTTCATGAGCAAAGGTTTGGCCTGAGTGAAGTGCAAACATCTCCAGGCTAACTCCACTGAATCCACAAATAAGCCCTCACCCTCACAGACAATGTGGGGGTCAGACAGCTGAGCAAGGGAAGATTGAAGCTCTGGATGACAGGTCCAGTTGTGCTGACCAGACATAGTCCCTGGGCCACAGCTGCAGGTGAGAAGGACCTAGCACACAGCCAGTAGTGTGGTAGCAGACAAGTGGGGACTCTGCTGGCTATGGGCACTTGCAGGAGACAGGAATCCCTGGTTCCCATTCCAGGGCAGAGGGATGTTTGCAGCCCTGTGGGAAGGACCACAGGGAGCAAGAATATTTGCGGTGACAGCCCGGCTAGGCCTCAGAGAGGAATGCCTAAGATCAGGCTCTCAGACAGTGCTTAGAAATCTGCCAAAAAAAAAAAAATCAACAACATGGAAAAAGCCTGAGGCATTACCCCTCCCCACCCCTCAGAACCAGAACCTATTATAATAATAAGCCCTTAAAAAATAATGAGCAAACAAATGAAAAAGAACCCAACCATAGATAGCTACTAGAGGAATAGAAAAGATCTGGGTTCATACTCAGAAGAAAAGAGTAAAATTTAAAAAGCCATTCCTACTTGAAAAAAAAAGTCAAATGGTCCCAATCCCCAAAAGAGTTCTTAAAGAGTTTTAAAAGGACTTTAAAAATCAAATAAGAAAGGTTGAGGAAAACCAGAGAAAAAAATAAGAGCAATCTAAGAAAATCAAGAAAATTTTAAAAAAGAAAGTAAGGAAAAAAATCCAAAAGCGTAAGAAAGAAAATAACTCTTTAAAACTAGAATTGGGCAAGGGAAGCTAATGACATTATAAGTCAAGAAATAATTTAAAAATTTCAAAAGAATGAAAAAAAATAAGAAGAGAATGTGAAATATCTCATTAGAAAAATAACTGATCCAGACAACAGATTGAGGAAAGACAATATAAGAACTGTTGGACTACCTGAAAGATATGAAAAGAAAGAAAAAATCTTGATGTGATATTACAAGAAATAATTAGGGGAAATTGCCTTCAAGTTCTGGAACAAAACAGCAAAACATAAATAGAAAAAAAATCCATTGATCACCACTGAAAGAGATCCCAAAATGAAAACTTATAGGAATATCACAGACAAGTTTTAAAGCTCTAAGGTTAAGGAGAAAATACTATAATTAACAAGAAAAAAAAATTTAAATACTGTGGAGCTACATCTAGGATAATACAAGATCTAACAGCTTCTACATTAAAAGACTGAAGGGCATGGAATATTATATTTCAAAGAGCAAAGGAGCTGGGTTTGAAACGAAGAATAACTTACCCAGCAAAGCTAAGTATAATCCAAAATGAAAAGAAAAAAAAATCAAAATGGACACTTAATGAATTGAAAGACTCAGTATCTGTGCGAAAAAGACTACAACTCAGTGGAAAACCTGATATACAAGATCTATCAGAAACATAAGGTAAACATTAAAGACCAATTATAAGGGACTCAATAAAGTCAAACTGTTTACTTCTCATACAGGAAAATATTATCTGTACTCTTAAGAATTTTATCATTACTTGGGTAATCTGAAAAGCATATACAGATAGAAGACTTGGGATTGAGTTGGTATGATGGATTGAGTCTAAAAATTAAAACTGGATAGGGAGAGGCAAAAATGGGGCAATTTTCTCAGACAAATGAGGTATAAATGAAAGAACTGTTACAGTGGAAGCAGGGGGAGGTGGAGGGGTGGTCGTGCTAGAACCTTATTCTCATCAGAACTGGGTTAAAGAGGAAATAACATATACATCTAGAAGGCTTAAACATCTTCTAAATTTATAAAGAAATAGGAGGGGGAGGGGACAGGAAAAGGGAGGGACTTTTAGAAGGGTGTGAAGATCAAGGAGTAAGAGGGTTGGGGGACAGGATAAGGGAGGGATTCTTATAAGGGTGGGTGGATTAAGAGATAGGTGCCTTAAGGGGAAAGGATAAGGCAGGGATTCTGCGAAGAGGTACAGATTAGGGAGGTAGTAGTTTGAAGCAAATCAGACATGTAAGGAGGGATAGGGTAAAAAGAGGGTGAGAAGGATAATAAAGAGGAAAAATAGGATACAGGGAAATACATAGCTACTAAGTATAACTTTGAATGTGAATGGGATGAACTCACTCATAAAATGGAAAAGGACCGCAGAATCAATTAAAAATTAGAATCCATCAATATGTTGTTTATAAGAAACACATTTAAAAATGAGAGATTAGACAAAATTTATTACGTTTTCTTTAGCTGAGGTAAAAAAAGGAGTAGCAATCATAACTTCAGACAAAATAAAGCTAAAACAGATTTAATTAAAAGAGATGAACAAGGAAACTACACTATGCTAAAAGGTACCACAGAAAATGAAGTAATATCAACACTAAACCTATATGCAGCAAATGCTATAGCATCTACATTTTTAAAGGAAAAGCTAAATGAATTACAGGTAGAAATAGAGAATAACACTACAACAGTGGGGGCCTTTAATCCTCCTCTCTCAGATTAAATAAATCTAGCTGAAAAATATATATACACATCTGGAGAGAAATGAATGGGAACTGACCATATATTAGGGCATAAAAACTTTAAAATTGGGAGAAAATTTTCATAGATAGTTTCTCAGAAAGAGGTCACATATTTCAAATATATAAAGACTTTTGTCAAATTTATAAGAATATGAGTCATTTCCCCAATTAATTAATGGTCAAAGGATGTGAACAAGTACTTTTTTTAAAGGAAAACATCAAAACTATATACACTTATATGAAAAAAATGCTCCAAATCACTATTGATTAGAGAAATACAAATTGAAACAATTTTGAAAAATCATCTGACAATTATCAGATTGGCCAAAATGACAGAAGTGACAAATGTTGGAAGAGATATGGAAAAACTGGGATACTAATTCACTGCTGGAGGAAATGTGAACTGATCCAACCATTTTGGAGTGCAATCTGGAATTATTCCCAAAGAGTTATAACATGGTGTAAACCTTTTGACCTAGCAATACCACTATTAGGTCTGTTTTCCAAGGTGATTTGGAAAAAGGAAAAAAAAAACCTCATATGTTCTAAAATATTTATAGCAGCTTTCTTTGTGGCAGCAAAGAACTAGAAATTGAGGGGATGCCCCTCAATTGTGGAATGGCTAAATAAGCTGTGGTATGTGATTATGATGGAATACTTCTGTCCTATAAGAAATGATGAGCTGGTTGATTTTAGAAAAACATGTAAAGACTTGCATGAAATAATGCAAGTGAAGAGTGAAAAAAGCAGAACCAAGAAAACATTGTACACAATAACAGCAATACTGTTCTAAGAATAACTCTGAATGACCAAATCATTTTGGGTATCATAAATATCAAATGAACTACAAAGTACCTATGAAGGAAGATGGTATTCAAATCCAGAGAAATAACTGATAAACAGAAGTGTGTATAGTATGATTTTACACATACATACATTTTTGTGTCTAACAGTGGACTTCTCTAGGGCGGGGAGAGGAGGGAGAAAAAAATGCACAGCAGAGAACAAAAGATAATTTAGAAGGTGGCACAGAAAAAGTAGGGTAACTGTGAAAATGACATGTAGTATTTATTAGTTTTCAAAAAAAAGAGTAAGCAGTGTGAAATGGAAATTCATGGCTTTTTTAAAATACTGAACCCTCTTTTTATCTTGCAGTGGGTACATGGAAATGTTCCCTTTTTTGTCTTTTTGCATTTAAGTTCAAAATGAATAAAATCTTTTTAAAAGATGCTAAGAAACTAAGAAATAGCAGGAAAGAGAGTTAAAGAAGTAATGTATCTGGATGACCTACAACTTCTTCATCAATCAAGAATGGTCACAAGCTGCCTAATTTTTAAAGTTGGGGAGTTTAATTATCAAGAATAGTCTTCTAGACCCCAGTTTCTGGGATAAGAACCCACTCTTTGAAAAAAACTGCTGGGAAAACTGGAAAAGAGTATAGCAGAAACCAGGCATAGACCCAGATCTCACACCATATACCAAAATAAAGTCAAAATGGGTTCATGACTTAGATATAAAGGCTGATACCATAAGTAAACTGGGAGAACAAGGAATACTTTACCTATCAGATCTATGGAGAACAGAAGAATTCATGACCAAACAGGAGATAGAGAACATTATGAAAAGCAAAATGGATAATTTTGATTACATTAAATTGAAAAATTTTTGCACAAACAAAGCCAATACAACTAAGATTAGAAGAAAGATAGAAAATTGGGAAAGAATTTTTAAAATCAGTCTCTCTGATAAAGGCCTCATTTCTAAAATATATAGAGAATTAAGACAAATTTATAAGAACACAAGCCATTCCCCAATTGATAAATGGTCAAAGGATATGAACAGACAGTTCTCAGATGAAGAAATTAAAGCTATCTATAGTCATATGAAAAAATGCTCTAAATCGTTATTGATTAGAGAAATGCAAATCAAAACAGCTCTGAGGTACCACATCACACCTATCAGATTGGCCAACATGACAAAACAGGAAAATGATAAATGTTGGAGAAGATGTGGGAAAATTGGAACACTAATACATTGTTGGTGGAGCTGTGAAATGATCCAACCATTTTGGAGAACAATTTGGAACTATGCCCAAAGGGCTACAAAAATGTGCATACCCTTTGATCCAGCAATAGTACTTCTAGGGCTATATCCCAAAGAGATCAAACAAATGGGAAAAGGACCCACATGTCCAAAAATATTCATAGCAGCTCTTTTTGTGGTGGCAAAGAATTGGAAATTGAGAGGATGCTCATGAATTGGGGAATGGCTGAACAAGTTGTGGTATACGAATGTAATGGAATACTATTGTGCTATAAGAAATGATGAACAGGATGACTTCAGAAAAACCTGGAAAGACTTAATATGATCTGATGCTGAGTGAAGTGAGCAGAACCAAGAGGACTTTGTACACAATAACAGCCACGTTATGCGATGACTAATTTTGTTAAACTCAACCCTTCTCAGCATTACAAGGATCTAAGACATCTCCAGAGGCCTCACGACGGAAAATGCTGTTCACATCCAAAGAAAGAACTATGGAAGTCGAATCGCTATCACTTACTTTTACCTTCTGTTGAGTTTTGTTTCATCGTTCTGATGGTTCCTCCTATTGGTTTTAATTTTTACTTACAACTTCACTAATGTGAAAATATGTTTAATAGAAATGCAAATGTAAAGCCTATATCAGATTGTGCACTGTCTTGGGGAGAGTGGGGGGAGGAAGGGGGAGAAAAATTTTCAATTCAAAAGCATATGGAAGTGATTGTTGATAAATCAAAATAAATTAATAAAATTTTTAAAAATTTAAAAAAATTTAAAAAGAATAGTCTTCTAGTAATGTCAGTTGTTTCCTTTTCGTTCCTTTCCTTTATCTTTTCTGCTAAATATTACAAAATCAGTGTTATAAAGGAAAGGAATCAATCAAAGTATGTAATGGTAAAATGTTAAAACAAAAAACTATCATAGTTAAGTAATTCATCAACGTTTTATAGTATACCTTATAAGACTTTTCGGTCTCTTCAGAATCTGAAGGAGGCTAAAGGAAAAAAAAGTTGAAAGAAATGAGAAATGCTAGAGGAAGCAACCAGTAGTACTCTATTGTAAAAAGAAAAACTACTGTTCAGTGGTTTTGGAGTTATAATCCTTGCCCTACCACCAATCTATCATGTAACCTTGTCGGGAGCAGTGTGTAACTAAGATTTGGCTATGACCTTGGCAAATTTAAATCCGTACACATTATACTTCTCTATATGATAAATGTGAATCATTAATCCAATCCTTAGTTTCTTTACTGAAGAACAAATAACCACAACAGTATGTTTCAGTAACACATAAAGAGATGGAAGCTTGACATAAAACTATAAATCTCTTTGAGACCCCACAAGCAATTAAGCCCATTGGAAATGCCAATGACTCCCAGACCACTAACCCTACTTCCAGTCTGGCTCCTGCAGTCATCATTTAGGGCTATAATCCTATCAACCTCTGCAACTTAGGGTTTGCCATCCCCATCAGTTGAGCATATGTAAGGTGGATCAAACCTTCTCTCAGGCTCAAGTGGAGATAATCCAGGACCCTTCACCCACACACCCCAAAAAGAGCAGTACTCCCAGAGTCTGCCATCATTACTTCCACAGCTATATTCACAGAGAATAATTCTTATGAAGCAGGAATGTGACATTCCCACCACTACCACCAACCAATGATCAACTGCTAGTAACTAGAAGATTAAGTCCAAGAGCCCTAGAAACAACAGTTCCCTTTCTTTTTACCTACTCCCCAACCAGCCCTGCTTCTCTATCCCAGCCCCCATACTATCCACTGAAGCAATCCCCACAGAAATAAAAGCTGGCATCTTCCTCGGCAGAAACTGCAACTACTGCCTCCTCAGTAGCCATAGCTACTGGACGCCCTGTGGTTGAACTGTCAACTCAATATCAGAAATGGATAAGGTTTTATCAGTGAAAATGACACTAAAGAATATTCATTACATCTGCTTTGTCACTGCATTTTAAGGACCACTGGGCCTTTCCACCCAACTTGCAGCTAAAAGTCCCTTTACATACTATCTCTCTCATAAGAATGTGACCTCCTTGACAACAGGGACTGTCTTGCTTTTTTCCCCTTTGTATCCCAAGTGCTGAACACAGTACTTGGCCTAATAAATATATAAGCACTCAATGAATGCTTATATATTTACTCATGCCAGGACTTTAGACAAATTCACTATGCTACTAAATGTTTTTCCTCTATACCAAAAAGTTACCTAGACTATTGTGGGAAGGAAGGAAGGAAGGAAGGAAGGAAGGAAGGAAGGAAGGAAGGAAGGAAGGAAGGAAGGAAGGAAGGAAGGAAGGAAGGAAGGAAGGAAGGAAGGAAGGAAGGAAGGAAGGAAGGAAGGAAGGAAGGAAGGAAGGAAGGAAGGAAGGAAGGAAAAGGGAAGGGAAGGGAAGTGAAGGAAGGAAGGAAGGAAAGAAGGGAGGGAGGGAGGGAAGGAGGGAAGGAAGGAAGCAGAGGAAAGTAGAAGAGGGATAACTGATAAGTTAAAACCACACACATACTCAATAAACTGCAATTAAGACAACTGTTTAAATAATATTATGTTATTAAATCTATTACCAGAGGTAATCACAATGAACTAGAGTACCTAATTTTAATTTCACGTCTATTCTTAAACACTGGCAAACCTCAATAAAAGGTACTTGTCACCAGTGAAATGATCAAAAAAGGGATCAGGAAGAGAAAAAGAACTAAAGATTTAGAGAGTGGATGGTCACACTCACAATGTGATGACAGCTGGGCCTTAGGACACCATCCAGGGCTTAATCTTTTTTGTGTCATGGTCCATTTTCAAAACAATGTTTTTAAATGAATAAGATAAAATGTATAGGATCACAAAAGAAAACAATTATATTGAAATAGTTATCAAGAAAAACATTTTTAAAACAATTTCACTGACCCCAAGTTAAAAATTACTGATCTAATCCAACTTCCTCATTTTATAGATGAAGAAACTTGCTCAAAGAGGTTAAATGACTTGCTTGTGACATTTTTGGTAGTGTGGGGACAAGGTTTTTTCACTTCCAATCTAGTATTCTTTCCACTCCCGGACAATTCCTTTAGTACTCAAATAATTCTAAAGCTGACTATATGTACTATATGTGCAGTGCTTTGATTGCAAAGAAGTTAAGATAAACTGTTTTCTTTTTGTCATAAAAAAAATCAAAACATACCTGTAGCACACGTGTTTTCTGTTGATGACTATTTGACATTCTTCTTGACTTGGTCTGCTCTACCTCATGTCTATGAACCCATCCTCGAAGTTCATGATTCAATCTATTAAGCAAAATGTTCAATTAAATATGCTTCTTAAAAATAAAGTTTCATGGTACCTACAAATGAATGTCTCACAATACTCTCAACATTCTGAATAAAGACATTTAATGTATGTTGCTTTTAACATACCATTCATATTCATAAGGCAGCTTACTCAATCACAAGTTCAAAACTGAAAGGATATTCACAGCTAAACACCTGCCAAATATAAATAGTGGAAGGAAAAACTTTTCCATAAAAAATGATTCCAAAGTTTTTCTGTGCTCTTCAACTGTGTAAGCAAGCATCTCAGAGGCTTGAGGGAACTTAACAAACTTCAAGATTCCTAATTACAAAATGATGTGTGAAAACTTTTGACAATCAGCCTTGAAGATGGTATAGCAGAAGAAGAATTCTAGCCAAAATCCCCAACATTTCCCTCCAAACAACTTTGAAATAACTCATTAAATCAAATTCTAGAGCAGCACAGCCAACAAAAGGTCAGGGTGAGGCATTTTTCCAGGCCGAGATAACATGGGAGGTCGGAAGGAGAGGTCTTTGACGCTGGAGTAGGGGCTGGCCAAGAGTGCATGGGGTGACAATGCCAGCAGTAAGTCCTCGAGGCAGCAAAGCCAGCAGCAGCAGGAGCAACACTGGAAGCTCTCACCATGAGGAGACAATAAGGCATTTGGAGATCTGGTCAGAAAGAGATCACAAGGGATCCCTGGGCTGACACTGGGCACAGCACTGGGTGTCATTTGGCAACTCCAAATGAGGTTTCATGTAAACAACATTTTTTTCATTTCAAAAGACTATAACATACTTAAGTACGCAACTCCAACATAATGGAAGGTCCTCAATAATAGGGACTGGTTTTTTCATCTTTTCATTGCCAGTAACCTAACACAGAACCTGGTACACAGAAGGCTCTTAATAAATGCTTACTGAATTCAAGTGAATGAACTACAACCCTAGGAAATGGGTAGTTATGACTACTCCCAAGAAATTAGTGAAGAAACTGAGTGAACAAGAGATACATGTTGTTAACAGTAAGAAAAATATAGAAGCACTCTAACTTCTTCTTGCCCAGCCCAGTGGTTTTCAAAGACTATGTGCCAGGAGCGTTGCTAGGCCCTGTGCCACCACAAATCATACAGAACTCACATCTGTCACGAGGAGAACAGGCACAGGTCTCCTCACTGTCCCACAGTGCTGCCAGGGTTGCCAGTTCATTGTGCTTCACCCCCTCATGGCAAAAAAAGAATACGGTGCTGCAAGCAAAAGTTCTGAGACACACTGGTCTAGACACTTGTCAGTGATCTAATCATCTCTTTGAAACTGAAGCCAGAAAAAGAGAACTGCTGATTACAGACAACTTTTCAGATATTCTCATATCAACCAAACAGCACTCACCTGAGAGACTCTGTACGGTTAATTATTGGTTGACAAGGAGGTGGAGGAATATACAACAGCGGCTCTTCAGTTACCACCATCAGAGCTTTGTCGTCAGAGAGAGAATGGTCATATCTGAAATATACAAATACAATCACTTATTTCCTTATGAATCTAGAGACTTACAATAAAGAAGCTGTGGAAATCATCACCATCATTTTTTAGAAAAGAATATAGTGTCTATAGTCATACTATAAAATAGAGGACTTAATAAAAAATAGGTATAGTGCCTCTATGAAGAGCATATGACAATTTGGTCCCAGATCTTACTGTTACAACCACCAGAGATGGACTAGAAGACCAATCTTAAAAAAATAATTCTCTTTACACATAACATATACCTAGAGTAATACTTAACCATCATATGCACTTTTAAAAGTAACAGATGTAGCCATTTTAAAAAATATACCCTACTTCCAATTGCCTGACCTGCTTACTTGAGATTTACTGGTAGGAATTCAAGTATGCTTGGTGGTAACCTTATTGCCATCCACCCTCTCCACAGCAGGATTTTGATACATCGTATAAGCAACCTTAGCAATGCCTGGAATTGTTATATAGATGTTTATTATTTTATGAAATCTAGATATACTACTACCCAGGCTTTCAAAAACTGATCAACAAAGGAATGGTTATTTACATTTTGAAGGAATTATTTTCTTGATAACATACTTTTTATAGGGCAAATTCAAAAGCAGCAACCTTAGTACATGAGTACATATTTAACATAGATCTATTAGATAATTAGCAAGGTGAATTTATGTGGTTAACTTATAAAACTGAGCCAAGAATAGATTTATTTCCTCAAAATGTTGAGTAGGAATTATTTCTCTGGCCCCTGTCACATCCTACCCCATTGCAACAGGTGAGAAAGAGATGATGCCACACATGACAGGGAGAGGAAAAAGTCAACATAAAATAAAATGGTTAGAGAAGAAAGTCAATCCAGCACTTGGCAAAAAGAGTAGACTCTTATAAATGCATCAGACAGAGAAACTGATTGGGAACAGTGAAAAAATGAAAGCGTTCAACATCACATTTCTATTTATTTAAAAAACACACATATCCACATACATAAAATAGATATTTAAAACTATGTTCTTGCAAAATACTACAAAAATCCCTTTGAAAACATATTTCTGACTTACTACCTTCTTTCCATGTGACAAATTCTAGTAATGATTTCCGCACATCTGTGCAAACGAGCTTTGTTCTGTCAGCCAAAAATGTTCTTTTGGAAAGGAAAAATATGATAGCAGAAATACTAGGAAAGGGACTGGGTGGAGTTGGAGACGAAGGGAAAGTGAGCTCCATAAGCCAATGTACAATCTGGAAATAATTAAATACACACTAACCCTGAAATGGTCTGTGGTCTAGGAGGTCTGTGAATCATTTCATATCAAGTGAAAACACCCTCTACAAATGATCCATTAAGGCCTCATTAGACAACACTAAGAAGTTAGAAAATTTCTGGAACAAAGCCCTAGATACAGATTCTGATGGCATGTATACAAGAATACACTGTCACATACTTCCAAGATTTTAAAAGGTAATGCATTTACAATATGATGGCAAGTCAAGGTATGCAGTCACAAACCTAGAAACTATGGACATATAACTTGGTTCTCTCTTTACTTTTTGATCTCACATACAAACCTTTTATTTTTAAGTGAGCATTATATAAAAAAGACTTCATTAGGAAGAAACACAGCTTTGATGGGTAAGTGGTAAATAACTCAAAATTCAGTCTTAATATTAATCCATATTTGGTCCCTTCAAAATGTTTTTCAAACAACAGGGAGTATCTTATCTTTAATACTGAGCACAGTAAAAAGAAATAACACCAGGCTAGTATATTGATGTATTTCTTTCTTAGAGATGTCAAATAGTTCGAGTATGTATTCTCACATATCATGATATGAATAAGTAAGTAGTCAAAAATTACAACCCTTTCTATTTTTTATTAGTTATCAGGTGTCAAAGATAAAATATTAGCCATGATGACTTCTACAGTGAAAAGAACATAGTTTAAATTTCATGTACTGGTTGAAGCCAAAACAAGATTCAGCCTACAATTCACTAAGTAAAATTCAGAATACTGCATTCTAGAATATACAGTCTCTTTTGATGAAACTATCCAATAAAGACAAGAAGGTAAAAACTGCTACTGGTTTTATATTACAAAAAATAAGCACCAAACTTGTACAATTAGCAAATTCTGTGTTACCTGAAATGTAGCCCAACTTCCACACTTCAGCAACAGAATTTTACAGACAAGCTATGAATGCTCAGACCCCTCCTGAACCTAAAAAGTTACATTTTAAAACTACTTAATCTTCGACAGATCTCCTATGGAAAAGGGTAGAACTTCGAAATCAAGGCTCATGAAACCCATACCTGGAACAATTTTTTGGTAAAATTAAAAAGTCCAGGAAGATTGCTAAGTGTTTGATTACATTAATTGCAGGAAATATTATATCAATTTTTTCCAACATTAACTTTGTTTCAAATAGTAAGTATTTACTAAGCACTAGGTACTATGTACCTAGCACTGTGCCAGGTGCTGGAAAAAGGGAAGGGAATAAGCATTTACATGGTGTCTACTACGTCCTCACAAGGAAGTTGTTAAGTTATTTGCCCAGGGTCACACAGCTAGTCTGAGGCTAGATTTGAATTCAGATCATCAATCAGAATTCAGATCCAAACCTATTGCCTTATCCACTGTGCTTCCACCTACTTCTACTGCTGGGGATGCAAAGAATGAAAGCAAAACAATTCCTGTCCTTAAAGAGTTTACAGTATGGCTGGGAGAGACATACACATATGTCATGTATATATGTACAAAACAGACACAAATAAACACAAGATAATTAGATAATGAACAGGAGGGAGGCAAATACAGCTAGGGCATCAGGAAAGGCTTAATATAGAAGATGGCACCTGAATTGAGTCTTGATGGAAACTAGGGGATCCTGTGGGGAAGAGGGTAGGGAGTATATTATAGATATGGGGACAGTTAGCACAAAGGCATGAAGACAGTCAGTGGAGCATGGTGTAAGAAGGTCAGTATGGCCATCTAATGCCTCTGATCACCCTCTCCTCTTCAGGGTTTTCATGATACTTCTTACCACAAGGGAATTACATCTTTCCAAGCTTCTATGTACATACTTCTAAGAGAGAAAGCATGGCAGAATGGTTAGGAAGCCAGCCACAGAGCCACGAACACCTCTGATACAACTTCCCTGTGTAAATAGAGCCGAGTCACAGAGCCTCCCAGCGCTCTGGACAACTGCCTCAAACTGTATGGTGCAGTGAAGTTGCCAACTCACATAGGGAGAAGCAATTGGCTCGCTAGAGACTTCATTATATCAGCAAAACCAAAAGTCCGGTCCCTGCCCCTATGTTTATATATGTATGTGGTGTGGTCCTATGAGAGCACATAAAGCCATTTGAGTAAAAGGACTTTTTCTTTTTTCTTCTTTGTATCTCTAGCACCTAGAAGACTGCCTGGCATTGAGGAGACAGACATTTAATAAATGTTGATTAACTGACCGACATGAAGGCCAGTAAATAAGAGCCACTAGGATCTGGATTAGGTGATAAATTTGGATGAAGCGAAGGGGATATTGCCGAGAATTCCACGGCTGTGATAATAATTCTCCTGGCTGGTATACGTCATGGCAAGAAAAGATCAGAACAATCTTCACTTGTTCTGCAGCCAATACAGCATGGTATGGTCAATATCAATAAAGCTCTTAATTTCTCCTACTAGATCTTGCCTAAGAGAAGTTATATTCCTAATATGGGCTTGCCTGTAGGTTAGACTGTAGTTCTAATAAGAACTACAAAGAAATTAGGAAATCTTGAAAGCCTATTGTTAAATATGGAATGCTCAAAAGCAATTCTGCAGTACATGCACTAAAAAATAGTTGTCATTTTATTCCTAAGAAGATAGAAAACCTCAACATATTCATGCTGTACACAGTATATTAAAGAACAGTAATTTATCTTACCTAATTCCAGTCTGCAAAGAAAGAGAACTCAAACACAAGGAGAATGCATGAACTGGGGCAGTAACAAGTCTCAAGCCAGTTCTGTCTGGTGTCCCACATGCATTCCTGGCCCCGTCAAAGCACTAAAGTCACCCAAGCATCGGCGTATTTTCCTTGCATGTTTTGTATCTAAATATCCTCTAGCCCTTTTTTCTAGTTCTGTCATTTACATGTGGGTAGGAAGGTTAGAAGATTGTATCATAATGCCTGCCACTTATAGAATGCTTTCAGGATTGCAAATCATCTTACAAATATTAATTTCATTTCATCTTAACAACAACTCCATGAAGTAGTTATTAAGACAGAACATAGATGAGTAAACAAATTCAAAGAGCTTAGGTGGCATCTCAAATGTGAAACCCGACAGGATTTTCTTACAGCTCTCCAAACATGACATTCCATCTCCATCCTATCTCTGTGCCTTAGCTGGGGCTGCTCTTAGAAACCATCCTTTCATCCAGAGTTTCTCTCAGGTGCCACCTTCTGCTTGAGACATTTCTTGATTCTCATTCCCTCTCCCCAGAAGCCCTCCCCCAAAACTGCCTTTTACTTATCTTATATTTTGTACGTGAACTTGTGCATGTACTTATAGACACACACACACACACACACACATACACACACCCCTTTACTGCTAGAATGTAAACTCCTTGAAAGCAGAGATAATTTCATTTTTGTGCCTAACACTGTGCTAGGCACACAGTAGGCACTAAATTAATGCTTGCTGATTTAGAAAAGATAATTTACAGATCATCTGTTCTAATCTCCCCATTTTTACAGATAAGAAAATTCAGGAAGAGAGGAGAATTGACATGCCTATGATCACACCACAAATTTACTGGTAGAGCTGAGAATAGAAACCAACATTTATGATTTACCAACTAGTATCATATTAACTCTACTTTTTAGTTTTATTAGGTCAGCTATGAAACGAAACTGTAACAGGAACTTGCAGAATCACCTATAATTGTTTTTCTGGATGGCACCATCAACTTTTCTCAGAACTGAATCTTGTCCCTCAGTAGCTGAGAATCCTAAAAGACGTCTGCTCTGATGTGCAGGGTTCATACTAGACGTCACCATATTGGAATCCCGCTCAAACATGCTGAAATACAAAAGTATGGAGTAATCAGTATAATGAAAATAAGTTACATATGCATGTTCTAGACTACCAAGAAATAAATTAAAATTCCTCTGTAAGTCTGTATTACAAAAAAAAAATCAAAGTAAATTGGTACAATGTAGTCAAGTGCTTTGTAGGGCAAATCCGTTTCTCATTAAAAACAATTCTTATAAAAGATGTAAAAAAAATAGCCTTTTTACAAACGGCTAAAGAACAAAGACCAGTGTGAGACAGCTCAAGAATATTTTGTGTCTATCTATATCTATCTATCTATCTATCTATCTATCTATCTATCTATATATGTACACACACACACATATGTATACACACACACATTTACATTTTATATATCTACAAATATCTATTTTTTTTAAAAAATATCAACTCAAGTGACAAGTTAAGAAGTTCCTTCAGGATTACTGGAAACTTCAGTTCTCAATCAGGAAATAAAATATTTATGGGAAAAATCATCTTCTCAAGAGACAATATACCCTCATAATTCCAGTGCACAGACAGACTCCTAATACCAAATTATTTCTTAATAAAACTTTGCTGCCATTCTTATTTACACTTAAGATCTCCCTTTCCACCTTGCCATCCCTTTCACCAAGACATGGCCTCTAGGTGAACTTAGAGATTTCTGAGATTAAAAAAAAAATTTAACAAATCCTGTTATCGTTATTTGGCATTTATTCTAACTCATTAATAATACTTGTGGGGCTTTAACGAGTCAATAACCTTTTAGTATACTTTATCTTATAAGACATCCATTGCATTAACACTATTTGTTATAATCTTAAATCAACACAAAACACAACAGTCAGCACTTTATTAAGAGTCTGTGTGCTATGCACATGTGCTAAAGTGCTAGGGGGACAAAGAAAGGCAAAAGACAATCCTTGCCCTCAAGGAGTTTACAATCTAATGGAGGAAGACAAACACAGAAATGGAAACTGAAAAACAGGTGGAGGGCAGGTACTTGACAATGGGGAATGATGGATGAGAAATGAAGAGATGTACAGCCTGGGTGCCCTCCTTAAAATGAGGTTCTGGGAGCAGCTCTCCACTATTCACTCTCCAATGAGAGGAATGGAAGAAGGGGCCCCAAAGGTAGAGGCTATTGAGGAGGTATCAGGTCCTGGGCTGAAGTGATTTTTTTTTTTGAAAGCAGAAAGGAATTTATTACTTTCTCACGAGAAAGGGTACCTCCCCTAGTCGCCACTGCCGGCCAGGAGAGTACGAGTTGGGAGCCTCACCTTTGGCTTTTTATCCCCTAACACAATGCGCCCTCCCACTCTCTCTTACCCCTTTCTCCTTTGACTGGGTACTCACGACGTACATTCTAAACGCAGCAGCTAATACCCGATAGAAGTAAACATGCCCATGTTTGGACTAGATGCATATGTGTACTAGGAAGTAGGAGCGACCAGGCAACCGAGCTCCCTCACCCATGCTGACGTGGTACTGGAGAAACAGAAACTTATCAGGGAAAATGGAAACTTAATTCAAGGCTTTCTGGAGGAATGAAACTTAGGCCTGTGGGAACTGCACTGCAAGCCATCTCTCACACTCAAGTACAGTGTAGGAGAGAGACAGGAGAATAGCAGGGAGGGAAGAGCGTAGCAAGGAGATACTAATGAGAGAACTTCACTGTGAGCCATTCCTCACAATCCCCTCTGTCTTTTATCCTGTCTTGAAGTTCCTTCACCATTGTTGATAAACTTCTTCTATCATGTTTTCCTCCTTGCCTCCTTCATGAAGTGATCTTGCAAGGGGATAATGACAGGTGTAAGTTACTCTCCTTTGTGGAAAAGGAAATGGGTAGAGGAATTTATAATCTTCAGCTATCAGTCTGAGGAGAGTAGAAAGAAGATAAAGGAATAGATTGAAAAAGGGTGAGTGATATCTTTTAGTTTGAAGAGGACTGATGCAAGGATGAAAACTTCTCTTAGTGGTGATTTATCCTTCAGTGGCAGGGTCAAGAACAGGAGTCCTTTAAAGAGCAGGAGTCTCTAAAGTCCTTTGCTCTTTCCTTCTTTTCCACTCCTCCTTCAATCCTTTATTTCTATTCTCCACTCATATTCTCCACATAGCCTTGGACTTAGTCCCACATTCATGGCTTGTTCACATATCACAAACATAAAAAAAAAATCCAAATAGGGTGAGAATGCTACTGTATTTGATGCTAACATGTACATTTTTTTTCCTATTCAAAGCATACCACCAACACAATAATGTTGAGAATAATTGATATGAAATGTGGCATCTTTCAAGGAGATATTAAAGCCCAATATGGTCCTGCTTAGCCTTAAATCCATTATAATTTCTCCTAAATAAAACTTCCAACTTAAAGAGAGAGTCCAACCAAAACACCCTATTGTTTAATGTACATAGATAACATCAACCTCTCTGGCTCCAGTGAAAAACGTTCAATAACTTAATTCATATTTCATGGAATATTACTCTAGTGATATAAAAATGTAATTTGAACCTGAATAAAGTATATCAAGAAAGATACACTGAAGGCTTTGAGTCTGAATCCAGAGATTACAAGCAACCATTGGATGAAGCCAATACTTACAAATACCTTGGTCTCCTCTAGGAAAGCACATACTTTGTAAATATAATACATGGAGACTTATTAACATCCTGAAACTAACGCTGAATGGGAAGAACTTGTTTAAAGCAATTAACATCTGTGTAATACTACTCTCATTATAAACTCTTGGAGTTGTATAATAGAGATAACAGATTTGGAAAACATCCTCACTAACACTCATGGAATATTAGCATAACAGAGCTCATCCCCCTAGGGCAATTAGAGAAACCCTAGCACACCAAAAAGGTGGGAAAATACTAATACACTTTCTTAGAAGACATGATGAAAAGATTGAAAACCGACAGAAATACTTTTGGAACAAGTGGATACTACTTAAGCAAGCAATAGTGAAAGTTGATAACAGGAACACAAAAAATTAATTTAAACAATAACAACTTCACCAAAGTTGCAGTATATAAAATGGACACACAAATTATTAGCATTTCTGTATATTACCAACAAAATAAAGCAACAAAAAGATAGGAAAAAAATCCATTTAAAATAATAACAGAAGGTATAAAATATTTGGGAGTCTGCCTACCAAGACACCACATAGCAACTATATGAATACAATTACAAAGCATCTTTACTGAAGTAAGGACAGGTCTAAATAAATGGAAAAACATTAATTGCTCATAGATAAGCTAAACTAATATAGTGAAAATGACAGTAATACCTAAATTAATTTACTCATCTACTGTCATAACAATAAAACTAATAAGAATTACTTTATATAGCTCAAAAAATAACAAAATTGATCTGGAAAAATAAAAGGTTATAAATGATGAGAGAATTCATGAAAAGAAGTGGGAGGGAAAGGGGCCTAGCAGTACCAATAATGATCATGGACTGACAGACTACAGATCTCAAAATATCCTGAAGACTCAATCAATAAATTAGTAGAATCAGATGATTACCAGTCTCAACTGTTGTCCACAATGTTGATGAAAAAAAATTTTAAGAAATAATCTTTTACACTTTATATTTTTAACAGCTGTCTCAAAGCTACAAAGAATGAAGGCTTTCAAAACACAGAAATTTAGCAGAGAGGGTCAAAATTACATGGGAGAAGGGAAAGGGAACTGCACAAAGCATTATAAATATTATCTCATTTGATCCTCACAACAACACAGCAAGTGATTATTATTATCCTTATTTTACAGTCGAAGAAACTGAGGCTGACAGAAGTCAAGCAATTTGCCCAAGATCACACATAGCTAGTAAGTGTTTAAGGCTGAATTCGAACCACAGTATTCCTGACTTCAGTTCAGTGCTCTATTCACTGTGTCACCTAGCTCCAGTGGGAACAGTATGAGGTGCATATCTGTAGTCCCTCTTGGCTGCTGGAATTGTAGCAAGGATGCTTTTAGTGAGCCCACAGAGGATGAGCTTATATCCTAATACTTTAATTCCTGTCACATTGTTTCTATCTGAACTTCATTAAAAAGAGTAGAAAGGATAATGATAATAATAATAATAATTACAAATAACTGTGCTGAAAATTGAGCATTATTACAACAGATAACATTGTTGACCACAATCCCTTGGATATAACTGATCAACAAACATTTTTGCATATTTTTAATAGCTGTTTCCATGCCAAATACTCAATCTCCAAGCTAAGTAAAATGAAAAGCTTACAAAATATAGACTTAATAGAAGAAACCAAAACCTTGAGAGAAGAGGATGAAGTACATATCATATACATATGCATACATACATATAAATATTTACCGGTATGTGTATATAGCTATACACACACACACACACACACACACACACACACACACACACACATACACAAGCATACACAAGCATATAGTGAAAACAATGATTATAGATGGAGGCCTTAATTCATGTTTTGGGCCAAGAGGCAACGAAACACTAACAAAATGTAGGTGACTTTAATTTTGAAAAATTCCTTGGAAAAAGGTGCCACAAGAGTTGTTGCTTTTCTTTTTCTCTCCACTTATAAAATTTCAAAAGCCAACCAAGTGTTGGCACACACATACTCGCATACAGAGGATGAATACATCCACTCATCAATGAACTCTACATGTCACCTATTACTCAACTGCATATCTTTAAAAACTGGCATTATTCACTTGCTTTTTTCCCTTCACAGATAACCTCTTTAGAGTGATTATGTCTCTCATCCAGGAGGCTCTGCAATGTTTGGCTTGATGTAGTAAGCACAATTTCATCCACAAAAAAGGAGCATACGGAAAACCCTGTCATCGCTAGAGAATCCTCTTCCACTTGTACTCTGCCCTTGATCTTTTCCATAAGAGTGGCAAACCCCTCTGGCAAATATATGTCTCCCTGTTTTATGCCTCACCTGGTATTAATGATCTTGAATATGGTTACTGTTGTCATTATCTTT